AACTACAAAAATAAAAGATTAGTGTCATGGACAGGCTCCATATAGCCATCTCCCAAACTTAGTTCATCTCTGCCCTCACCCCCTTTCCCTATTCACCTGGATTATTTTGAAATAAATCCCAGAAAGCAAATCAATTCATCCATCTATATATTAGGGTTTCTGCAGCACTCAAAAAATTCACACCTTAAAAAGCACATTTCTCAATACTGATCGTATCTTTGATGTCACTTCTCAGCACATTGCTTCAGGTAACCAGAAAGAAGTGGAAAGACTTCTGAGCCAAGAAGACCAAGATAAAGATGCCATCCAAAAGATGTGCCACCCCCTGTGCTTCTGTGACGACTGTGAGAAACTTGTCTCTGGGTAAGAGAGTCCTCATGGAGGCTCCGTGTGCCAGGAAGCAGGATACTCGGGGCTTCGGTGGAACTTTTCTACTTCTTTGCCATGTGATTTTGAATGAGGCACTTATCCTGGGTGCACTCAGCTTCCTCTGCCATAAAGTGGGGACTCTAATCTCTGCCTCTTTGGAGCATTAGATGGAATAAAGGTCCTGAAAGTACTTGGCACGCTGCTGGGCTGGATACAGAATAGGCAGATATAGGGCCTGCCCAGCCTCGGCAAGTGTGTTTAGGATGGGAGAATGCCAACTTCCCCCAGTAACCCTTTCTGGTCTCCCCTTAACCTCGTCAGGCTATTTTGCTGGGTGTCAAGGCCTAGAGGGTGGGGTGGCCGGGAGGGACACTAGATGCCTCAGTTCCTCACCCTGTGAGCAGGGACTGGATTCTCTCTAGGACACTATAAGAGAGGCCCGGTTTGGATCATACCCTGAGACCTGTCTTCCAGTCCTAAGACCCTGGCATGGCCGGCCTTGTCAGGAGGAGGCTTTGCCCTGCCGTTCCTAGGGTGTCTTTCTCTGTATCTTTTCTCTGTTTTAGGAGGCTGAATGATCCTTCAGTTGTCACTCCATTCTCCAGAGATGACAGGGGTCATACACCACTCCATGTGGCTGCCCTCTGTGGTATGTGGTCTTGGGTGGGCCTCTGAGGGTTGCCAAGGAAAAGGGATGGAGCCAAGGATGGCCCAGCAGAGGCCTGAGGCCTGGCCGGCAGGTGCAGTGGAGTTGGGGTGTGGAAGAGGCTGTATCATGGGCCACCGCCGGTGGCTTCGTTGGAAGAGAAGAATAGCAGACGTTCCTCAGGCCGTCCTGTGCTGCTCCTGGGCTTATCTGTGCTCTCACTGTCCTGGCTGGTGGTCCAGGGAGGGAAGGCTTGAGTCCGAGCTATGAGAATGATCTTAGAATTGGGGTTCTTATATCCTGCTTTTATTTTTTTTTTTTATTTTTTCATTAACTTCAGAGAGGAAGGGATAAGGAGAGAGAGATAGAAACGCTTAATCAGAGAGAACCATTAATCATTAATGAGAGAGAACCATTAATCAGCTGCCTCCTGCATGCCCCCCACTGGGGATTGAGCCCGCAATCTGGGCATGAGCCCTTGACCAGAATCGAACTCAGGACCCCCCAGTCCACAGGCCGACGCCCCATCCACTGAACCAAACCAGCCAGGGCTTACATCCCACTTTTAAAAAGTAACTTTTAAAGTGCACAAAGTAGAAAACACAAACCTCTCCAGTATCACCTGCCATCCTTCTGTCTCCCAGATATAATTTTGATTTATGAGTATCTGGATTTCCCTGTGCTTGTGTGTATATGAATATAAAGCATATGATATTGTGGGGACCATACTGTTCTATACTGTGCTTTTTTCACTCGGTGATATATAAGAACATTTCTCCTTGTCAGTATTTTTTAATGGTTGCACAGTATTCATCTTATGAATTGATGAACCATGGAATCTTCTGTGGGTGTCTGAGGCTCTTTTCCAGTACCTTCTCTTGCTAAGAAGTAGATTGGAACTGAGTCCCTGCTAAGAGGCACCCCAAAGGGCCCAGAATCTGCAGAGTCTGACTTGATGTTAGCTCTGGTTCCTCTCAAGCAGAAAAGTTCCTTCTGCCCTGGCTCATGCCAGGGAACAAGAGGGTAAAATAATGTTGTGGCTTCACACTTAGGGTTTGAAAGCCTCTTGTCTTTCTCCATTATGAAGTCCTTCTGTTCTGTAGGGCAGGCATCCCTCATTGACCTCCTGGTTTCCAAAGGCGCTGTGGTGAACGCCACGGACTATCACGGGTCAACTCCACTTCATCTTGCGTGTCAGAAGGGCTATCAGAGCGTGACGGTGAGCAGGCGGTGACGGCACCACTAGTGCACGTGCTCGAACGAGTTGGGCTCTGACTGACTCCAGTCGTGGCTGTGCTCCTCTGTCCCACCGGCTGCAGCTGCACAGCGGGGCTGCGAGTCTGCAGCTCCTCCACCCCTGGACAGAACTGTGAGGTCTAGACTATCAGGACAAAAATTTTAGGACTTGCTTTCCTAAAATGTCCTGATAATCTGGGGGTAGCGGGGTGGGCATGTACTTTTTTTTTTTTTTTTTTATCTCGAAACATTTTTATCTCTAAGGAAGGATGAGAGTGATGTCATTTATGTGTAGAATGGGCAAATAAGATTGAAAATGGAAACAAGTGACCTCCCCCTTACTCACCTGCTTTCTCCTCCCCTTTGCAAGCTGCTGCTGTTGCACTACAAGGCCAGCGCTGATGTGCAAGACAATAACGGCAACACCGCTCTCCACCTGGCCTGTGCTCATGGCCACGAAGACGTAAGTGGTGCTTGCTGTCCTTGGCTGTGTTCACCCTTTCTCTCTCGTGAAGAAATGTGAATTTTAATCAGTTTAGTATAGTGTGCTTTGTGTTGATAATTATTGAACAATTTGGTGTGTAATGTTTTTAATTAAAAAATTTTAAGTTTATTAGAGAAGCTATGTTGAAATAACAAACCTGGAACTTAATTGCTCATTATCTGTCATATAATTAAGTTATTTCCATTCATCCCTGCTACCATCTGACTCTTAGTTTTGTTCATATTCAATTTCTATCTTTTACTTTTTTATAGTAATATCAAGGAATTTCATAATTTTCATTTTCAGTTAATATTTAACAGTGTGTTTTATTTTTTCCTAACTATTCTCTCTCCCCCTTCTCTTCATAGTAACATACAAGTAGTTTTATACATATACTAGAGGCCCAATGCACAAAATTCGTGCAAGAGTAGGCCTTTCTTCCCCCAGCTGCCGGCACTGGCTTCCCTCTGGCATCCGGGACCCGGGCTTCCCTACGGCCACCGGCAGGCACCCGGGACCCAGGCTTCCCTCACAGCCCTGGCTTCATCCAGAAGGTTGTCCGGAAGGATGTCCGGAAGGACGTCCGCTCTAATTAGCATATTACGCTCTTATTATTATAGATAGGGTTGAAGCTGGGTTAGGTGGGTGATGTATAAAAATGAGATCGTACCCTACACATTTTTATGCAACTTGCTTTCCTAACAACGATACAGTATGGAAATTCTCTAGATCAGTAAATCTAGCCTCTTTCATCGCTGCAGTAATCAGTTATGTGTGTTGCATCAGTGTTCCTAAGACTGCCCGTTGACTCAGTGAGTTGTGACAACACCTATGAAATATTATCTACCAGGGCAGCTCATTGCGCCACTCGGGCCACATGTTATTGGAGGCCGGTCATGTAAACACCCTCTGCCTGGCATGTACCAAAGTGTCAGACTCCCAGAAGGAGAGCAGGTGTTCAGTACCAACCACATTGTTGTACAACAGGTTGGGCACAGTGAGCCCCTCTTGTCAGGTAGGGGACTTATACACACCCTAAATCCAAGCTCCCAAGGAATACTGCAAGTCAAGGGCCAGCCTTGCAGTCAGGCCTTTCAAGGGACTGTGGTCTCGGGCCTGCTGTGGTCATTCCTTTCTGCACATGGATACGTCACAATTTATTCAGCCACGTCTAACTGACGGACCTTTGAGTTCTTTGAGAAAGTGAGGGTACCCTGGAGCCCTTGGGTTCCCTCTCTGTTACTGTGCAGTTGCTTGGTTAGTGGAGCCTTGATTAAGCTGGGACCTGGATCTAAGCTGTGGAGTGCATGGATGTTGCCTGGGGCTTAGCATGTGAGATAATGGTGGCATCTCCCAATTTCTTTGCAGTGTGTGAAGGCTTTGGTCTACTACGATGTGCAATCATGCAGACTAGATATTGGTAATGAGAAAGGAGACACTCCCCTACACATAGCTGCACGCTGGGGTTACCAGGGCATCATAGAGACGTTGCTACAAAATGGAGCATCCACAGAGATCCAGAACAGAATGAAAGAAACGCCCCTCAAGTGTGCGTTAAACTCAAAGGTAGATTTTTTTTTTTTTTTCGGAAAAGGACTATGACTTTAAAAACAAAATCAGTGTCTACAGATTAGGTCTTGGCTATGCTGGACAAATTGCGTTAGTGCCTGAGGGCAGGACTTGGCCTGTACCCTCTCTGCTGCATTTGGGACCTGGTGGTTAATGGGTTTTTACTTATTTATGTTATTATGAGTTGTTCTTTGTGTTGTTCTAAGAGCTACTCCCAGCAGACTTTGCCCCAGCCTCTGAGTACTGTTGCCTTATGAGCAAATGGAGGGGGTAAAACGGGAGAGTAACTCTGACTGGCAGAAGCGGGGAAAGGGAGTGGGGCATGGAAGCAGTAAGGGATGTCGCTTCATCTTCAGCTCCTAAAAACCTTATCCTTATCCTGATTTGGCCAATTTTGAGCTTCATTGGGTATTACTTCTTTCAAAAGTGATTTGTTAATGAACTACTCATCCTTTCCTAGGAGTAATGTCTGGGAGCATTCAGTTTTTGACAGCATGTAAAAGTGCTCACTTCATGAGTGAGTGGGGAGTGGGGAGTGGAGGGCTTAGAGAAACCATTTCTTTGAACCTCATCTCCCAGCAGGTTGAAGGCATGCCTTCAGCGAAGTGTGGTCGGCCAGCTGGCCAGAGAAAGCCGAGCCATGTGCAGTGGAAGGTCCCAGGTCATCAGGTTGATGTGTCTAGAACATCACTAATTTGTGGCTCACAGAAATGATTCCATTTTATATATTTTATTTTTTAATCCTCACCTGAGGATATTTTTCATTGATGAGAGAGAGAGAGAGAAAGGTAAGAGAGAAACATCAATTGGTTGTCTCCCGTACACACCCCAACCGGGGATCGAACCCACAACCTGGGTATATGCCCTGACTGGAAATTAAACCTGCTACCCTTCAGTGCATGGGATAATGCTTTAACCAAAGAGCAATACTGGTCAGGGCAAACGATTCCTTTTTTTGTTGCTGTTATTAATCCTCACCCGAGGATATTTTTCCATTGATTTTTAGGGAGAGTGGAAGAGAGAGGAAAAGACAGAGAGAAACATCAATGTGAGAGAAACACATTGATTGGTTGCCTCCTGCGCAAGCCCTGACCAGGGCCTGGGCCGGGGAGGAGCCTGCAACTGAGGTATGTACCCTTGATCGGAATCGAACCTGGGACCCTTTGGTCTGCAGGCTGAAACTCTATCCACTGAGCCAAACCAGCTAGAGCAAACGATTTGATTTTAATACAAGCCTCCTGTTGTCTCCCTCTGCACAGGCCTTGCTTTCTGCTTCTTGATGTTTTCAGCTTCCTTTTAGTTTCTGACTCTCTTCTAGGGAAGCCTTTCAGTTTATGTCATCTTCTAGGAGTAGCACAGTTTTTAAACTACTTTATTGAGGTATGATTGACATACAAAGAGTTGTACATATTTCATGTACAGGCACACCTAGGAGATAACAGGTTTGGTCCCAGATCATTGCAAGAAAGTGAGTCATAAACTTTAGCTGTTGGAGAGTCTTGCCTTCAATTTGTAAAACACACAACATCTATATTATAATAATAGCAAAGCTCAATAAGATGAGGTACACCTATACACAACTTGATGCATTTGGAGATACATACATACCCTGTGAGACCATCACCACAATCTGTGCTATAAACATATCCATCACCTTCAAAAGTTTCCTCTCGTCTTTATTATTTATGTTTGTGTGTGACAAGAACACTTAACATAAGCTCTACAGTGGCACCGTTTTGAAGGTGAAATCCCTGCTCCTGACCGCTGAGCCATTCTTCCTGTGCACTCACAGGGTCTCTGCTCTGTAGTAGCCACAGCTGATGGACTGGGTGGTGCTACCTGTGGCCTGAGATGCCAGGAGCTGAGGGTTTCTCTGCCCCTGTATCTTCTCCCAAAGGCCCCTTCCTAAGGGAGGTCTCAGAGAGAAGGAGACAGCTGCCTGCTTGGGTTTGCTCTGAGCTGCTCGTGGTGCCAGTGAAAAGGCCACACTTTATTCCTGTGGACAAATAGCCGGGGGCTAGACAAGGCAGCCTTTGAGGCCCCTTCTGTGGCTGGGCTTCTCTTGTCCTCTGAGCCCATGCATGGGAAGCACCAGCTCCTCTGCCAGGCAGCAGGAGTGTGGTGTGGCAGGAGGAAGCCCAGACTTACTCAGTGTGGTTCTGAGCGAGTTCCACCAGCCGTGGTTTCCCTGTCTCTCCAAGGGTGTGGCTGAGCTGTCTGCCCTTCTGAGGAGATAGGCAGTCAGTGGGGTTTTATGGGTGATGCTTTAGTGACCCATCTCATTCAGTACTTTGCTTGTCCCCTTTGTCCTCCTAGATTCTGTCTATAATGGAAGCCCGTCACATGTCCTTTGAAAGGAGACAACAGTCTTCAGCAGTAAGTGAACAGGGCGGTAGTCCTTGGCCCTATTTATGACCAGAGCATCCTCTTTGGCCCTCACCTGTCTCTTCTCTTGTCATGCTCCCTTGCTGCAGGTCCCTGTGCCACCCCCTCAACACTTCATGGATTCCATCAGCCAGGGGTCCTCCGCCTCCAGCTTCTCCTCTGTGTCCACCAGCTCCAGAAAAAGGGAGCCCAAGAAGGACTACAGAGAGGTGAGGCCCCAGGTGGGAGGAAGGTCTGTAAAGCCCTGTATATGGCTCTGGTTAAAGAGTCAGGGCCTGCCCTAACTGGTTTGGCTCAGTGGATAGAGCATCAGCCTGCAGAGTGAAGGGTCCTGGGTTTGATTCCAGTCACGGGCACATGCTCAGATTGTGGGCTCAATCCCCAGTAGGGGGCATGCAGGAGCGAGCAGATCAATGATTCTCTCTCTCTCATCATTGATGTTTCTATATCTCTCCCCCTCTCCCTTCCTCTCTGAAATCAATAAAAATATATTTTTTTTTAAAAAAGAGTCAGGGTCTGACGAGGGCCACCTAGTTGGCCTGACCACCATAACCAGGTCAGCCTCGTCTGCTATGGCCAAGGTCGGTGCCTGGAGAGGAGCCCAGATGTTCTCACCTGCTTGCCCTTCATGGTCAGCTCCCTCAGCAGCTCTTTGCTTTGTGGACAATGTGTGTGTGTGAGAAAGAGAATAGCCTAAGAAAAGTATAAGTAAAGTCACCTATAGGTCCACTGATATAAGATTATTTTACAAAGCAAATTTTCTCTGCCCCTACCTCCCACTCCACAAGCACCTCTGTTAGCTTGATGTGGGTCCTTCCTGACTCCTTACAAAGTTTATATAGACACTAGAGGCCCAGTGCACGAAATTCGTGCACAGTGGCGGGGAGGGGGGCGTGTCCCGCAGCCTGGCCTGCACCCTCTCCAATCTGGGATCCCTCTCGTAATCCAGGACCACTGGCTCCTAAGCACTCAGCTGCCTGCTTGCCTAATGGCCCCAACGGCCCTCCCCTGCCAGCCTGGTCGCTCCCAACAGCCCTCCCCTGCAGGCCTGGTTGCCTCCAATGGCCCTCCCCTGCAGGCCTGGTCCCCCCCCCCATTGCCCTCCCCTGCCAGCCTGATCTCACCCCCAACTGCCCTCCCCTGCCGGCCTGGTCACACTCCCAACTGCCCTTTCCTGCCGGCCTGATCATGTCCCCCAACACCCCCTCCCCTGCTGGACTGATCTCACCCCCAAACTGCCCTACCCCTGCCAGCCTGGTCGCCTCCAACTGCCCTCCCCTGCCTGCCTGATCTCCCCCAACTCCCTGCCAGCCTGATCTCACCCCTAACCCCCTGCCAGCCTGATCTTACCCCTAACTGCTCTCCCCTGCCAGCCTGATCTCGCCCCTAACAGCCTCTGCCTTGGCCCCCACCACCATTGCTTTGTCCGGAAGGAAGTCAGACGTATGGAAGATGGCTGGTTGACCCGGTCTAATTAGCATATTACCCTTTTATTATATAGATTCATATACACTCACACATTGCATCTAGTAAAAGCTGATTTATAGCCTGGGATTTGTTTTTTGCATTTAATCTGTCTTAGAGTTTGCTCAGTGTCAGCCACAGAGTAGACCATAGCATGGATGTGCCACAACTCCTCTGCTCATTCCCCTGTGGGTGGGGACCCTCACTGACCCTACCTAAGACCCCTCCTCCCATGTTATCCTCAAGCCCTGACCTGCTCGTGGATAACCCAGCAAGCTTGGCTCAATGCAAAAGCACAGCAAAGAAAGCCAAGAGGCACTCTCCAGAGTCTAACAGACCTGGGATCATCCTTGGGAGGGATGTCCCCCTTATTGGTATGTACCCTCAGCTAGCAGATAATGAGAGCTGAATATATGTGGTTCTAAAGGTGGCTGACCTAGGGAGTGCTTGTGCTTCAAGGTGGCCCTCATCTCACTCTGCCACATGAGAGCAGTGTCATTTTATAGACCAGGGGTCCTCAAACTTTTTAAACAGGGGGCCAGTTCACTGTCCCTCAGACCGTTGGAGGGCCGGACTATAGTTTAAAAAAAACTATGAACAAATTCCTATGCACACTGCACATATCTTATTTTGAAGTAAAAAAACAAAACGGGAACAAATACAATATTTGTATTTGCATGTGGCCCGCGGGCCGTAGTTTGAGGACCCCTGTTATAGACCTTGCATGGCAATGGGCTCAGAGCACATCAGCACCTCCTCGGATGTCTGTCTGAGCAGTTTTAGGGATATGTTTGAAAGCTACTGAATCAAGACTCCAAATTAAGAAACGAAAGCTACTAGGCTTTCAGAAAGGTGATTTCTTTTAATTTTTTTTCTCATTTACTGAGAGAGACAGACAGACAGACAGACAGACATCAATTTGTTGTTCCACTTATTTATGCATTCATGGGTTGATTCGTGTATGTTCCCTGACCGGAGCTTAAACCCACAACCTTGGCATATTGGGATGATGCTCTAACCAACTGAGCTACCTGTCCAGGGCTTCTTATTTTTATTATTGTTTTATTAAACTTATTTTTCTAACATTCTTTTTTCTTTTATTAAGGTAGAAAAACTTTTAAGAGCAGTTGCTGATGGAGATTTAGAAATGGTGAGTTTGTAGAAGTGCGTTTTACAAAGCTTGCTCTCAGTTCAGTTAGGAGCTGTGTGGCTTTGTTGTTCACTTTCACATAGAAGGTGGTGCACTTAATAAATATTTGGTAATGGCAATGTGACCTTTCCACCACAAATAATGAGGCGAGTGGACATAAAGCTGCATAGTGAGCATGTCCCTGCCTCTTAGACATTCATATTCTGGGAAGGTAGTGAGATGTTGGCAAGAGACTAACCCGCACCCAGGTCTCAAAGTATGGGCTCAAAGCCTGACACGTTAGCTGGGAGCAAGGTGAGCACACAGGGTAGTGGGTGAGGAGGGGGTGGTGGAGGCGAGGGCAGAACTCAGAGGGTGTTAGGGTGGCCCTACAGAAGTTGTGGACACCTGGGACACCTGGGCCAGGAGGCTGAGGTCTGAGGCTTGGGCCCCAAGGAGTGAAGCAGGTGCCAAACAAGATGGTGCTGACTGATCTGGGTTGGAACCTGTTGAGGATGTCCTGCAGGGAGGGAAGGTGTCTGTCCTAACCCACAGTGTCAGGTGACCGGGAACATCTATGATGAGATCACTTGAGAGTAGAGACAGCCTTCATGAGATTCCCACAGGCAGTTTCCCTGGCTTGCCTTTGGTTTCCTGAAAGGGATTTGTTTTGCATTCAAAGGAGGAGTCAGTTAGGTGCTTAGCAAACTCCTTCCTTTTGTGGGTAGGTGAGAGGACAGACCACTCATGAAAGAGGTGAGCAGAGACCAACTGTCCAATGCCCTGGGGTCCCCATCCAAATTAATCTACTCTTGCGATAGCTTCCAACCTCCTGCCCGGGGCCACCTCAGCTCCCCGCCCCCATTCTTGTTCCCTTCTTCTCATCAAGAGAAGCTGCCCTCAGTCTCAGCTAACCTGCTCAGTGAGGCCCCTCAGTCAAGGCCTTTGGTGTTTCCACCCTGACCAAGTGTCTGTCATCTTGGATAGAAGGGACCTCTAAGAGAGAAGCTTGGGGTCAAAGAGGGGTTCCTGAAACCTTTTGTCAGTCTCGCAGGCATATGCTGACTTCCTCAGTGCTGAGAACCAGACCTAGATATATAGTTAGAATGTTTTCTCAAATTTAATATCTTAGAAACGTTTCTTTACTGGAACATAAATTTGACCTATTTGGGGGTCTTTTCAGTGCTCTCACCTGTGAGCTAGTGCATTTAGTGGAAAGGACACTGGGATAGAGTTCTAACCGCAACTTTTTTTTTTTTTTCGCTAAAAGTATTACAAAGGGTATTACATAAGTGTCCTTTTTTCCCCCCCACCCTTGACAAGCCCCTGCCCTCCCTTACCCCCCAGTGTCTTATGTCCATTAGTTATGGTTATATGGATGCATACAAGTCCTTCGGTTGATCTCTTATTCCCCTCCCTCCTGTCCCCCAACCCTCCCTGGCCTTCCCACTGCAGTCCGACAATCGGTTTGAGGCAGCTCTGCCACTGTATTTATTATTGTTCGAAAGTTTGTAATGGTCTTAATTATCCATGAAAGAGTGAGATCATGTGGTATTTTTCCTTCATTGACTGGCTTGTTTCACTTAGCATAATGCTCTCCAGTTCCATCCATGCTGTTGCAAATGGTAAGAGTTCTTTCTTTTTAACAGCAGCATAGTATTCCATTGTGTAGATGTACCACAGTTTTCTAATCCATTCATCTACTGATGGGCACTTAGGCTGTTTCCAGATCTTAGCTATGGTGAATTGTGCTGCTATGAACATCTGGGTGCATATATCCTTTCTGATTGGTGTTTCTGGTTTCTTGGGATATATTCCTAGAAGTGGGATCACAGGGTCAAATGGGAGTTCCATTTCCAATTTTTTGAGGAACCTCCATACTGCCTTCCATAGTGGCTGCACCAGTCTGCATTCCCACCAGCAGTGCACAAGTGTTCCTTTTTCTCCACAACCTCTCCAGCACTTGTCGTTTGTTGATTTGTTGATGATGGCCATTCTGACAGGTGTGAGATGGTACCTCATTGTTGTTTTGATTTGCATCTCTCGGATGATTAGTGACTTTGAGCATGTTTTCATATGTCTCTTGGCTTTCTGAATGTCCTCTTTTGAAAGGTGTCTATTTAGATCCTTTGCCCATTTTTTGATTGGATTGTTTATCTTCTTTTTGTTAAGTTGTATGAGTTCCCTATAAATTTTGGAGATTAAGCCCTTATCAGATATGACGTTGGCAAATATGTTTTCCCACGAGGTGGGTTTTCTTGTTGTTTTGTTGGTTTCTTTTGCTGTGCAGAAGCTTTTTATTTTGATGTAGTCCCATTTGTTCATTTTCTCTTTAGTTTCAACTGCCCTAGGAGCTGTATCAGTGAAGAAATTGTTTTGGCATATGTCTGAGATTTTGTTGCCTTTGTATTCTTCTAGAATTTTTATGGTTTCCTGTCGTACATTTAAGTCCTTTATCCATTTTGAGTTTATTCTTGTGTATGGTGTAAGTTGGTGGTCTAGTTTCATTTTCTTGCATATATCTGTCCAGTTTTCCCAACACCATTTATTGAAGAGACTATCTTGGCTCCATTGTATGTTCATGCCTCCTTTGTCAAAAATTAATTGAGCATATTGGTTCGGGCTAATTTCTGGACTCTCTATTCTATTCCACTGATCTATATGTCTGTTCTTGTGCCAGTACCAGGCAGTTTTGAGAACAGTGGCTTTGTAATACAGCTTGATATCTGGCATTGAGATCCCACCTACTTTGTTCTTTCTCAGGATCGTCTAACCGCAACTTAATAGTTGTGTGGCCCTGAACAAGTTATTGACGTCTTGAATGCGTTTTCTCCCAGGTGAAAAGGGAAGGGCTGGTTGGAAAGTGTACAGTTAGATCAAAGAGGATGTGCTTATTAAATGCTCCAGGGCCAGGATTTTCAAGCAGCACCACTCTGCTCCTTTTTAGAAGATAGAAGAAAAGAGAACCAAGATGGCGGTGTAGGTAAAGGCCAGTACTTGCTGCCCCCCACAGCCACATCAAAATTACAAGTAAAATACAGAACAACCATCATTCAGAACCATCTAAAAGCTGGCTGAATGGAAGTCCTACAACTAAAGAAGTAAAGAAGAAAGCACTTTGAGACTAGTAGGAGGGATGGAGGCACAGAACAGGCTGGTCTGACACCCAAGTGTGCCAGTTTTTGTTTTGTTTTGTTTTATTTTTTTAATCCTCATCCAAGGATGTTTTTTCATTGATTTTTAGAGAGAGTGAAAAGAAAGGGAAAGACAGAGAGAAATATCGATGTGAGAGACACACATCGATTGGTTGCCTCCTGCACAAGCCCTGACCAGGGCCCGGGCTGGGGAGGAGCCTGCAACTGAGGTACAGGCCCTTGACCGGAATCGAACCTGGGACCTTTCAGTCCACAGGCCAATGCTCTATCCACTGAGCCAAACCAGCTAGGGATGTGTGCCATTTTTTTTTAATCCAGAAGGAAATTATCCCTGTGGAGGCCGCCTGTGAGGAGCAAGGGGTCATAGCCCCACACCAGACCCCCCCTCCCCAGGGTTCAAGAGGTGGAAAGAGAAGTCCCCGTAACTTTGGACTGTAAAAACCAGGGATTGTGGCTGAGGGACATGGAGGCTGCCAGGGAGGCTCAGGTGTCCATCTTAAAGGCCCGGCATGAACTTACTCAGACTCATTTCCTCTGAGCTCCAGCACCAGGAGGCATTGGGAGACCCAAACACATACGGAGAGGAACCAGATTGTCTGGCAGAAGGGCTGGAACTCAGGGGCAGCTTTCTATCAGACAGAGGTGCTCACAGGAATCATTGTTCCTGTGCTGGGATCTCCTTGTCCCAGGGCTGACTGACAACCATTTCTGAGTCCCCATCAGCCTGGAGCACACTGTTTGCCCCACCCTGGTGATTCCCTGAGACCCCACCCCATCCAATTTGCAGCCCTACCCAAGATATTTGCAGCAGCTTTTCCATATGAATGGTCTGTCCTGACTCAGGCTTCAGACTTTGCTCAAATCTCTTAAACAAGCAGCAGCTGGCATCAGCATGCCCCAAACCTATCAATAAAAGGCCCAACACCTGGCAGCAGCACCAGCCTGCCTTGCTTCACAGCTGCGCCTCTCCTGGGTACTTCCAAACCCAATACAAATAGGAAGAATCTGCAGATCTCTCTGTAGCTCCTGCCAGGTGGCCCTAGGCAGTGGCTGACTTTGCACCTCCCAAGAGACCCAAGGGCCAGTTTACCTGGTGGATAGCTTCAAACCATACCAGATTGCACTCTACACATCCACAAGCAACACACTCAAGGGGCAGACTCAGTGAGCTCCATAGCCCTACTGAAGCAAGTCCTGCTCCATAGGGGTGTTTCCTGTACAGCAGCTCTCCCACTATAGTTGCAGCTGGTCCTCACAGTTAATTCGCCTGGAGGTCAATTCCTCCCAGTGTCACCAACAGCAATCAAGGCTCAACTACAACAAGACTGTGCAAATAGCCCACAAAGGGGAGCATCTAGAGTGCCCAACACAGGTGACTGGGGAGGCTGAGCTACTGGGCCCTATAGGACACCTACTACACAAGGCTACTCTACCAACTCCAGGAGACATAGTAACTCTACCTAATACATAGAAACAAACACAGGGAAGCAGCCAAAATGTGGAGACAGAGAAACATGTCACAAATGAAAGAAATAGGAGAGAGTGAACTACTGGATACGAGTTCAAAATATCTTTTTGATACCTTCAAGAGACTTAGACTTTGAAGGATCTTAGTGAGAATGCCAAAGACATGAAGAAGAACCAGTCAGAAATTAAGCATACACTAACTGGAATAAAGAATAATTTACAGTGATTCGACAGGAGAATAGAGGATTCTGAGAATCAAATCAACAACTTGGAATATGAGTAAGCAAAAAACCACCCAATCAGAAAAACAAAAAAAGGAATCCAAAAATATGAAGACAGTTTAAGGAGCCTCTGGTACAACTTCAAGTGTACTAACATTCTCATTATGGGGATGCCAGAAGGAAAAGAGAGACAGCAAGATATTGAAAACCTATTGAAGAAATAATGACAGAAAACTTCCCTACCTGGTGAAAGAAAGACTTACAAGTCCAGGAAGCACAGAGAGTCCCAAACAAGAGGAACCCAAAGAGGATCACACCAAGGCACATCATAATTAAAATGCCGAGGGTTAAAGACAAAGAGAGCCTCTTAAAAGCAGCAAGAGAAAAGCAGTTACCTACAAGGGGAGCACCCATATGACTATCAGCTGATTTCTCAACAGAAACTATGCAGGCCAGAAGGGAGTGGCAAGAAATATTCAAAGTGATGAATAGCAAGGACCTATAACCAAGATTACTTTACCCTGCAAGCCTATCATTTAGAATTGAAGGTCAGATAAAGAGGTTCACAGACAAGGAAAAGCTAAAGTAGTTCATCACCACCAAAACAGTATTACATGAAATGTTGAAGGGTATTCTTTTTTTAAATATGTTTTATTGATTTTTTACAGAGAGGAAGGGAGAGGGATAGAGAGTTAGAAACATTGACGAGAGAAACATCAATCAGCTGCCTCCTGCACACTCCCTACTGAGTCCCCGATGGGGACTCAGCCCGCAACCAAGGTACATGCCCTTGACCAGAATCGAACCTGGGACCCTTGAGTCCGCAGGCCGACACTCTATCCACTGAGCCAAACTGGTTAGGGCGAAGGGTATTCTTTAAGAAGAGGAAAATGAAAAAAGATAAAAAATATGAACAATAAAATGGCAATAAATACATTTCAACAATTAAATCAAAATAAATGAATAAGAAATCTAATGAACAGAATAAACTGGTGAATAAAATAGAATCAGAGGCATTGAAATGGACTGACAATTCTCAGAGGGAAGGGGTGGGGAGGCAGGAAGAGATTAAACAAAGATCTTATATTCATACTAGTAGCCCGGTGCACAAAAATTTGTGCACTCGGGGCGGGGGGGTCCCTCAGTTATTAAACATTTATCGGCACAACACTGACCACATTGGTGCTGGTGGTGGTCTTGTCATAATGTGTTATATTATGCAGATGAAAATCTATTTAAACAGATTTGATGTAGATATTTTCAAAGATGGAAGAATTGTCCCTGTCAACTATTTTAGTTGATTCATATCTTCACTAATTGTCATCATTGCAAAGGTTTCAGTCCCCATATGGATTGCTGGATATAATAGGTCATGCGCTGTCCCTGTCCTTTGTAGCCTTTGTTACCTTAAGGACTCTAGTTTTCCATTTATATGTTTAAGTACCAACTTTACCGGCTTAAAAATGTAAGCTTTTAACACTGCTCTCTCTGTTCCGTATCATTCCGATGAAAAGTGGAGTTGGGTTGCAGCACAGGAGAGAAATTCAGAAGGGGAATATTGAAGTAATGACTGCAGTAGAAGAGGGAACCTATTTCCCTGGCCACAGGCACTGGCGCCCTGGACCACAGGGCTGGCAGCTTCTCCGGGTGGCTGCAGCCTGGACCTCGGGCGGGTGGCTTGTCTGTCTCCTGGGCTGCAGCCAGCCGCAGGCGCTGGCACCTGGACCAAAGGTGGGCGGCTTCTTCTGGCGGCTTCTTCTTCTGTGCTTCCAGGGAGGGCAGTCAGTTATGTGTATATGTGTGTGCATGCAAACATAGGCGTGTACACGTGTGTATGTGGAAATCTGCTGGGCAAGTCAAAACCATAGAAGAGTTGCCCCCTATCTCTTGAATCTTCCAGAGATATCCCCCACTTTTTTATTCTATCACTACTGGAGAGTCAGTATTTGCAGCCAGCCAGCCAGTGACTCTCTCAGTGTCTATTTCTGACTTCTTCTTTCCCTGTCTTCCAACCCCTAATCATATTTCCACCTGGATGCATCATTTTTACTCCCAATATGCTGTATAGAGAAGGAGTCAGGATGCTGTCTTCCCATGAATAGTACTCAGTAACAAACCAATTGCATTTTAGTTGGGCAATGCCCCTACCCACCCTTCAAATCGCTTCCACCATGCATTTCTGTTTCCCTTTTTGTTTGTTGGATTGTTCTGCTGCTCCTTCTCCTCACCCCACCACCCTTGGATCGTAATGTAAAATTCTTTTACCATGTCAAGAAATTATTAAAAATACAGGTACTTTGAAAAAAAATACAGGTACTTCTCCGAACACCGGCCGGGGGGTGGGGGCAGGGAAGAGGCGGCTGCCGGCGGCTGCCTCTTCCCTGCCCCACCCAGCTTCTCCAGTCACCGGCCGGGGGGCGGGCAAAGGCGGCCCCGGTTCTCCGATCACAGGCCGGGGGGCAGGGCAAAGGCGGCTCCCAGGGCCGCCTTTGCCCTGCCACCCAGCTCTTGCCTGCCGCCTGGGTTTCCGATCACCGTCAGCAGCAGGTGGCTTCTTCCGTCCTTCCACTTTTGCCACCCAGCATTGCGCCTACGTATGCAAATTAACCGCCATCTTTGTTGGTGATTAACCACCATCTTTGTTGGAAGTTAATTTGCATATCACCCTGATTAGCCAATGGGAAGCGTAGCGAAGGTATGGTCAATTACCATGTTTGTCTATTATTAGATAGGCCTAGAGGCCCGGTGCATGAATTCATGCATGGGTGGGGTCCTTCGGCCTGGCCAGCGATTGGGGCCAACTTGCCCAGTTCCAATCAGGGCCAATCGGGGCTGGCTGGACAGAGGGAGGGACCGTGGAGGTTGGCCAGCCACTGGAGGTTGGCTGTGGGAGCGCACTGACAACCAGGTGGCAACTCCTGTGTTGAGCGTCGGTCTCCTGGTGATCATTGCACATCATAGCAATTGGTCGTTCTGGTCATTCCACCATAATGTTTGCCTAGGCCCGTGGTTGGCAAACTGCGGCTCGCGAGCCACATGCGACTCTTTGGCCCCTTGAGTGTGGCTCTTCCTAAGCCTTAGGAGTACCCTAATTAAGTTAATAACAATGTACCTACCTATATAGTTTAAGTTTAAAAAATTTGGCTCTCAAAAGAATTTCCAAGCATTGTACTGTTGATATTTGGCTCTGTTGACTAATGAGTTTGCCAAACACTGGCCTAGGCTTTTGTTATATAAATAGGCATTACCTGTGGACACAGACAATAGGGTGGCGAAGGCCTGGAGCAAGGTGGGAACCAGGTGGAGGGGCAATGGGGGGGGAAAGAGGATATCTGTAATACTCTCAACAATAAAGATAATTTTTAAAGATAAATAAATAAATAAATAAGAAAACAAAGATAGAAGAAAAGAATCTCTAACACAAGCTACAGAAACAGTAGCTTAATCTCTCTATATCAGCATGAAGGGGTTTAGAAAGGCTTGGGCACATGTGACCCCTGGAATCTTTGTGAGCAGTACCTGTCATTTTTTAGTGACTGTGGCCCTGGTTTGGGAACAGTTAGAGAGTTTAAGGTACTGTATCTTGTAAAAGAGCTAAGGATGAGATTTAAGTTCCTATTTCTCTTTACTGTACAACCTCAGGTGCGTTACCTTTTGGAGTGGACAGAGGAGGACCTGGAGGATGTGGAGGATGCTGTCAGTGCTGCAGATCTTGAATTTTGTCACCCCTTGTGCCAATGCCCAAAATGTGCTCCAGCTCAAAAGGTTTGGCGTTGCTTCTGTTGATGAGGGTGGTGATAGGAGGGAACACTCTTCTTTGTCCCCTTGAAAACGATGTCTGCTTCTCAGCCAGCTAATTTCTGAGTGGCTGGTAGTGGGTCTCCCTGAGATGTGGTGGGGTTAGTTAGCTCAGGGCGGAGAGAAGCTGGCGCCAGTACAGGATCTGGCTTGGGCTGCCTGCTTCCTGAGCAGGCAGGTCAGTGAGCAGGGACATCCACATGTGCTCTCTGGGCCCCTGAGTCATAGGCAGGAGTTTACAAATAGACACGCCTGAGGGTCTCCGTCCATGTGGTCGCATTCCCCCTGGGGAGGCTGCACTTGAGGTCCATTGCCACTACCATTGCTCACGTTGGTACTTCCTCTGTGGCAGACACATCCCCTATACGATCCAGTTTCCCCTAATGGTAACAGCTTGCAAAACCATAGACACATACAATCCTTCACCTTATTGAGATATCCCATTTACCTGTGCTCGTGTGTGTGTGTGTGTGTGTGTGTGTGTTTAGTTCTACCCAGTTTTATCACATATGTGGCTTTGTGTACCCACCACCACATTCAAGGTACAGAATAGTTCACTCACCACGAGAAGAATCACTCACGTTGCCCTTTTACGACAACACCCACTTCTCTCTGTCACCCCCACCCCACCACCCACTAATCTGTTCTCCACTTCAAAAATGTTATATATGTAATCATACAGCACGTAACCTTTGAGGATTGGCTTTGTTCTCTAGCATGATTCCAAGTTGTTGCATGTAGTTAACAGTTTATTTCTTTATTGTTGAGCAGTATTTCATGGTTGTATGTGCCAGTTGGTGTAACCACTCTCCTGTTGAAGGACGTTTTGCTTGTTTCTAGATGTGGGAAATTACAAATAAAGCTGCTATGTACATTTGTGTACAAGTTTTTGTAAGAACATAACATAGTTTTCTTTCTCTAAGGTAAATGCCCAAGAGTACAATTGCTGACTCATGTGATAATTACATGTTAATTCTATGGTTAGTTTTGTGAAGAACTGACAGACTTTCCCGGGCTGGTTGTACATTTTACATTCCCACCAGCAATCTATGAGTGGTGCAATTTCTCTGCATCCTCACCAGCTTGTGTTGTCACTATTAGTTATTTTAGCCGTTCGAATAAGTGTGTAACACTGTCTCATTGGGTTGCAGTTTGCTTTCCCTACTGGGTGATGACATTGAACCTCTTTTCCTGTGCTTATTTGCCATCTGTATCTATTCTTCAGTGAAATGTCTGTTCATTTCCTTTGCCCACTTTGTTACTCGTTTCTTTCTTTAAAAAAAATGTTTTTATTGATTCTAGAGAGAGAAAAAGGGGGAGACATCAATTTGTTGTTCTACCTATTTATGTATTCATTGGTTGATTTTTTTTAAAATATATATTTTATTGATTTTTTTACAGAGAGGAAGGGAGAGGGATAGAGAGTTAGAAACATCAATGAGAGAGAAACATCAATCAGCTGCCTCCTGCACACCTCCTACTGGGGATGTGCCCACAACCAAGGTACATGCCCTTGACCAGAATCGAACCTGGGACCTTTCAGTCTGCAGGCCGACGCTCTATCCACTGAGCCAAACCGGTTAGTCATTGGTTGATTTTTTTAAAATATATTTTTATTGATTTCAGAGAGGAAGGGAGAGGGAAAGAGAGATAGAAATATCAATGATGAAAGAATCATTGATTGGCTGCCTCCTGAACGCCCCCTACTAGGGATCGAGCCCGCAACTCGGCATGTGCCCTTGACTGGAATCGAACCCAGGATTCTTCAGTCCTCAGGCCAACGCTCTAACCACTGAGCCAAACCAGCTAGGGCTTATTGGTTGATTCTTGTATGTACCCTGACCAGGGATCAAACCCACAGCCTTGGCATATCGGGACGACACTCTAACCAACTGAGCTACTGTGCCGGGCTGTTGTATGTGTGTGTGGTGTTGTGTTGTTTTTGTGTTTTTTTTACTGTTGAGTTTTCAGAGTTCTTTATTTATTCTGGATTCCAGCTCTTTGTCAGATATGTGGTTTGCAAATATTTTCTTTTGGTCTATAGTTTGCCTGTAGCTTCTTCACATGGGTTTTCACAGAGCAGGTTTCTAATTTAGAAGTCCAGTTTATCAGTTTTTCCTTTTATGGATTGTGCTTTTGTGGTTAAATGTAAGAACACTGTGCTTAGCCCTAGATTTCAAAGATTCTCTCCTTTTGTTTTTCCTAAAAGTTTTATATTACATTTAACAGTTAAGTCCCTGATCCAGTTAAATTTTGTACAGTGTGTGAGATTTAGGTTGCAGTTTATTTTTTGCCTGCAGATGTCCACTTCTCCCACACCATTTGTTGAAAGGCCATCCTTCCTCCACCAACTTGCTTTTTGGACCTCAGTGGACTGTGTATGGTGTGGGTCTATCCCTGAGCTCGCTATTCTGTCCCACTGATCTGTGGGAGCCACACAGGGCCACACCTTCTTGATTATTGCAACTGATAGTAAGACGTAATATTGGGTAGAGTGATTCTCCCTAATTTATTCTTCTTTGCCAGGATTGTTTTAGCTATTCTAGGGCCTGTGCCTTTTCCTATAATCTATAAGCTTGTCTATGTCTACAAAAAAACCTTGCTAGAATTTTTATAGGAATTGCATTAAAACTATAGATCAATTTGAAGAGAAATAACATCTTTACTATGTTGAGTCTTCATGAATATGGTATATCTCTACTATATTTAGGCCTTCTTTGATTTCTTCATCAACATTTTGTGATTTTCAGCGTAACAGATCCTGTCCATTTTGTTAAATGTATACCTAAGTATTTTCTTTTCTTTTGTGTAATTGTAAATAGCATCATGTACATAGTATGCACTCGTGTGCTAGCTCTCTAACTCAAGGTGTGTTCCATACTAAGAAAATTAATTTGACTTTACAAAATAGATATACAGGTGTTATGCTTCGTATTGTAAGAGTATACTACCTTATTTAAAAAGCTTTACCATGGGTTTCTCTAACCGAAGAATACTGAAATGACTATATTTTTCATTCACGTGTGGCTTTTCAGCGGCAGGTTAATGTGTACATTAGACTGTGCAGCTTTTGTTCTGTTCCCATGGTGCCGGATGTGTACAGTCCAAAAACGTTTTCCCCCTAGATGGGTGGCTATGAAAAAAAATAGGGATAAAAAAGGCAACTGATGTTTCAAAAGATATGAAGTAACAAAACCCCCAGGTCCAGTCAGTGAGTCTTTGCAGCTAGAAGCAGTTATTCCATCTCTCTTCTTTTCTTATTTTTCTATACTCTCTTCTTCACCTCAGTTCATTAGCTGTAACAAGATGCTTAAAACACATTACAATATCTGTTGAATTTATTGGATTAAAGTCTTATGTTGGCCCTGACCAGTGTGGCTCAATTGGTTGGAGCGTCATCCTGTGTACCAGAGTGTCTTGGGTTCAATTACTGGTCAGGGTACATACCCAGGTTACGGGTTTGATCCCTGGTCTGGGTGCTAGGGGAAGCAACTGATCGATGTATTTCTCTCTCCCTCTCCTTTCCTCTCTCTCTAAAATCAATAAAAAAACCAACAGACCCAAAAAAAGCCTTATGTTCCCTGTTCATTTAAAAACTCTTATCTTTTCCTCTTTTTGTAAGTTCTCAAAAAAGCACAAAAATTGCTTCATGTCTGTAATTAAATTAAAACTTCCCCCCAACCCCATTCTCTTCTATCCCACTGGTGTATATAGAGTTTTTAAAAACTCTTTATTGAAGTATAACTTACATACTATAAAGTACAGCAAGTCCTCAAATAATATCCTATATAATAAAGAGGTAATATGCAAATTGACCATCACGCCCTCACACAAAGATGGCCGCCCCCATGTGGTCACAAGATGGCCGGCAGGGGAGAGCAGTTGTGGGCAATCAGGCCAGCAGGGGAGGGCAGTTAGGGGCAACCAGGCCTGCAGGGGAGGGCAGTTGGTGGGGGGACCAGGCCTGCAGGAGAAGGCAGTTGGGGGTGACCGGGCTGGCAGGGGAGGGCAGTTGGGGGCGATCAGGCCGGCAAGGGAGGGCAGTTGGGGGCCATCAGGCCGGCAGGGGAGCAGTTAGGTGTCAATCAGGCTAGCAGGGGAGTGGTTAGGGGGTGATCAGGCTGGCAGGCAGAAGCCATTAGGGGCAATCAGGCAGGCAGGCGAGCAGTTGGGAGCCAGCAGTTCCGGATTGTGAGAGGGATGTCCCAGATTGGAGAGGCAGGCTAGGCTGAGGGACACCCCCCGCCCCAGTGCATGAATTTCGTGCACCAGGTCTCTAGTCTATAATAATAAAAGGGTAATATGCTAATTAGACCTGACAGCCGAATGACCTTCTGGATGTCCAGACATCCTTCCTGACAAAGCTGGGGCCTGAGGGAAGCCAGCCGGGGTCCCGGGTCCCAGGTACCTGCGGGCAGCCCGGGGGAAGCCAGCCTGGGTCCCGGGTGCCTGCCAGCAGCTGAAGGAGGGAAACCCAGGTCCTGGATGCCAGAGGGAAGCCAGTGCTGGCAGCCAGGGGAAGGAAGGCCTATTCGTGCATGAATTTTCATGCATTGGGCCTCTAGTTTCAATATAATGCTGATGAGATGCTACAGGAACTTAACTCTTTATATCAATTAGCCAATAGTAAAATTGGTTTTGTTATGCATCATTTTGCTTAAAGTCACAGAACCTATCGATGTTAAGTGAGGACTTACTATATATCCATGTAAAGAATACAGTTTGGTGAGTTCCTACAGATGTGTGCACCCATGAAGCCATCGCCACAATCAAGATACAGAGCATCCACATCACCACCAGAGTTCCTCATGCCGTGTGCAGCTCTGCCCTTCCTCCCTGTCCCCAGCACGGATAATTTGTCAGATGTACCATTGATCTGCTTTCTGTCATTACAAACTCATCAGCATTTTCTAGATTGTGCATGAATGGAACTGTACAGTACACACCCTTTTGAGTCTGGCTTTCTTTGCTCAGCAGAATGTTTTTGAGATCCATGCTGCATTACTAGCCCATTTATTTTTATTGCTGGGTAGTATTTTGTTGAATATACCATAATTTGTTTATTTAATCACCTGTATACATTTAATATGTTTTTATTGATGTTTTAGAGAGAGAAGTGGAGAGGGGGAGAGATAGAAACATCAGATGAGAGAGAAGCATCGATCGGCTGCCTCCTGCATGCCCCCTAGTGGGAATCAAGCCCACAAACCTGGTATGTTCCCTGACCAGGAATCAACCAGTGACCTGGTGCATGGGACAATGCTCAATCCACTGAGCCACACCGCCTGGGTAGTAGTTGCCTGTGTTTGGCTTGGTGAATAAAACTACTGTGAATGTTTATGTACAAGTCTTTGTATAAAAATGTTTACATGACTAAATACCTAGGAGTATAATTGCTGGGTCATAGATTTAAGTGTATGTTGAACTTTATAAGAAACAGCCAGTTTTCCATAGTAATTATAGCATTTTCCATTCCAACCAGTTGCGTGTGAGAATTCTAGTTGCCCCACATTCTTGTCAGCACTTGGTATTTTGATTTTTTAACTTTAGCCATCATCCTACAGTTAAGTGTGCAGGGGTATTTCATTGTTTTTCCCACCTACTTAATTTTTTTTTTTTTATTTCAGAGAGGAAGGGAGAGGGAGAGAGAGGAACATCAATGATGAGAGAGAATCACTGATCGGCTGCCTCCTGAATGCGCCACACTGGGGATTGAGCCTGCAACCCAGGCATGTGCCCTGACCTGGAATTGAACTGTGACCTCCTGGTTCATAGGTCGATGCTCAACCACTGAGCCATGCCAGCTGGGCAGACAATGACATTTTTAATCATCAGAAAGTGAACTAATTTACTTTCTGATGATTAAACCAGTTTTAATCCTTACCAGTCACAGAAAATAGTGACTAATTAATTCTACTATCAAAATAAATGATTCAGCATTACTATTTGTTTGTTTTTAGTTATATGGTTTATAAATCAGGGAGGTTTTTTTTTTACCCTTTTAAGTATTGATTGATTATTCTACATCCACATGATTTATTTTAAAACCACTGTGAATAATAAGGTAGTTTCATGATAAAAATGAAGGTGAACTATAGACAGACAATTTGATGAGGTTTGACAAGTTAATTCAAGGTCTTATAACCTCCAGCAGCACAGTGAAGATACAGACTATGTCTAGCACCCCAAAATAGCCTCTCCTGCCCCTCTGTAGTTATCCCCCTTCCCTGCCCCATTTCAACAACCAACAATCTGTTTTCTGACCCTTTGGTTCTGTCCTTCCTGATTTTGACTTGCATTTCCCTGATAACTAAAGATGTTATTTTATGTGCTTATTGGCTGACCATTCACCTTTTCAAATCTTTTGCTATTAAAAGTTAGCCCAGGTGGTGTGGCTCAGTGGTTTAGAGTCGACCTATGAACCAGGAGGTCACCGTTTGATTCTCGGTCAGGGCACATGCCCGAATTGCAAGCTCGATCCCCAGTGTGGGACGTGCAGGAGGCAGTCAGTCAATGATTCTCTGTCATCATTGATGCTTCTATCTCTCTCCCTCCCCCTTCCTTTCTAAAATCAATAAAAGAATATTTTTTAAAAAATAAAAATAGCCCAACTGGTGTGGCTCAGTGGTTGAGCATCAACCTATGAACCAAGAGGTCAGCGTTCGATTCCCGGTCAGGGCATATGCCTGGGTTATGGGCTCAATCCCCATTATGGGGTGTGCAGGAGACAGCCAATCAGTGATTCTCATCATTGGTGTTTTTATTTCTCTCTCCCTCTCCCTTCTTCTCTGAAGTCAATAAAAATATATATATATATTTTTTAATATATTTTTATTATTGATTTTTTACAGAGAGGAAGGGAGAGAGATAGAGAGTTAGAAACATCGATGAGAGAGAAACATCGACCAGCTGCCTCCTGCACATCTCCTACTGGGGATGTGCCCGCAACCCAGGTACATGCCCTTGACCGGAATCGAACCTGGGACCTTTCAGTCCGCAGGCCGACGCTCTATCCACTGAGCCAAACCGGTTTCGGCAATAAAAATATATTTTTAAAAATAATAATAAAAATTAGATTATGTTATTGAGTTGTAAGAGGTTGGTTTTTGTTTTTTAATTCTGCTTGGCCCTTTGTCAGGTATACATATCACAAACATTTTCTCTTATTTGGTGATTTTTTTTTTTGGAGAATTTTTATAAGAGTTTATTTGAGCCAAACTGGCAATATAAGCTGGAGAGTAAGATCTCAAATTTTCCTGCCTTTTGATTTTCATTTTTGTCAATATTTTATTGGAATGTAATTCTTCATAACTTATTAATATAATGTATAAAATATTTCACATAATGAGCAGTTAACTATTTAGAAATATTCCATTCTCCTAGAAATTATGGGAGCTAGTTTAACCGAGTTCAGTAAATATGAAAATTAAGCTCAGGAAAAAATGATGCTGATTCCTTTGTGAAGTTTTCCTCCCTTTAGCCTAATTCGTCTCAATGTGTCAACACATCTCTAGAGAGACAGTAAGTTTTAGTGGTCTGTCTTGGACTCTGGAGTTGAACATGGGTTTGAATATTAGATCTTCCATTTACACACTTTTTTACTTTGGACAAGTTACTTAACATCTCAGGTCTCAGTTTCTATATCTTCTTATGAGCTCCAGTAAACATTTAAGAGGCTTTTAAAATGTATTTCACGTGGCATTTTTGTAACAAGAGGGTTTTCAAGTTGTCTATTCCATAAAATTGCCACAATCAGATTCTCTCTGTTTGGTCTCTTCATCCATATGAATGTATTGCCTGTAACTTTTTAATCTGATGAAATCAACCTTCATAGGGACAAATCTATCTGAATTTCGGCTGATGTCCTTAAGGTTCTACAAGATCAGCACAGAACCTATAACCTTTTTAAGCACACACAGAACCAAAATGTCACAGTATCCTATGTCTTTTTTATAACATCCTTAGTCAGCTGCTCAGTTCTGTCCACAATGATGCCATGAGGTATGAGGACATACTCCCATCTCCATAATAGTACTGCGGGCGTGTAAGTTCAAGGCACACCCTGGCCAGTTGACCACAGTCACTATGCCTTGCCTATAGTCTGGTGCTTCCTCACTGCTCATGGCCAAGTTTCTACCAGGGAAAGCGGGAAGGTTCATTTTCTTAATTGTCTCTTTCAGAGAGCATAGATTTACAATTTCTAAACCTAGTTTATCGAGGTTTTCTTTTATGTTTTTGCTTTTTGTCTTATCTAAGAAATCATTGCTTATCCCAATGTTGGAAAGATTTTCTTCTGTGTTCTCTTCAAGTTTTATAGTTGTAGCGTTTACATTTAGATCTGTGATGCATTTTAATTTTTGTGTTTCGTGTAAGATAAGGATTGACAGGCAGTTTTTCCACATGTGGATACCCAGTTGTTCCAGCGTCATCTGTTGAGCAGACTTTTTCTTCCATTGGCATAATACGGTACTATTTTAGGGGTTGCTTTCTTGAAAAATAGAAGTTAATCCTTTGACTCTCATATCTTTTTTAAGTAGTTAGGATGGCCCTCGCTGGTCGCTCAGTGGTTAGAACGTTGCCTCATGGACTGAAGGGTCGCAGGATTGACTTTGGTCAAGGGCACATACATTGGTTGTAGGCTTGATCTGGGGCACGTGCAGGAGGCAACCAATCAATGTGTCTCACATCGATGTTTCTCTGTCTGTGTCTCTCCCCTTTGCTTCCACTCTAAAAATCAATGGGAAAATATCCTCAGGTGAGGATTCACAAAACATAAAATAAATAAATGAAGTAGTGGGGATTCACCTGCGGGTAACCTGGTTCTGGATGCCACCGTGACCTTGAATTTGCTGAGGGGCTATGAGGGGCAGATGGCTTTGGTTTCTTAAATACGAATGACATTCTGTTTGTGTCTTCCGCACCTGTAGAAGCTGGCAAAGGTTCCTGCCAGTGGGCTTGGTGTGAATGTGACCCACCAGGACGGCTCCTCCCCACTGCACGTTGCTGCCCTGCATGGTCGGGCGGACCTCATCCCCCTCCTTTTGAAGCATGGTGCCAATGTGGCTGCCAGAAACGCCAACCAAGCTGTCCCACTCCACCTGGCCTGCCAACAAGGCCACTTTCAGGTACAGGTTGTCTCGGGCAGAGTGTTAGGGTGTTTGCTTGTGCTTAGAACAGGGGTGGGAACCTTTTTCTCTGCCATGGACCATTTGGATGTTTACAACATCATTCACGGGCCATCCAAATTTGTCAGTTTAAAAATTAGCCTGCTGTATTGGTCAAACATTTTAATAACTCACCCTTAAAGCCTTGGCAAGGCCAGACCAAATGATTTTACAGGCCTTCCACAGCCCTCGGGCCAGACGTCCCCACCCCTGGCTTAGAACCTCACTTGGGAATGCTCCTAGGGACAGGGGTTTGACATGTGCCCCAAAGGACCAGCACCCTTCCTTCCTCCCAGCCCGAGATTCTGAGGTGCACATGGATGGACCACTAGCAACAGAACACAGAATCTGATGCTCCTGGGTGGAGCCAGCCCCTTCCCATTGCCCTCCCAGCATTCGGGCCTGACCCCAGCCCCAGCTCTCTGGTGCTTGGGTGTTGGTCCTCCAAGGTTCCTGCTGCATGTTAGCGCCTTGACGTTCCCACAGCACTTGGTCAGTGCTAAACAGCTCAGCACTTTATAGAGTACAGCCCTGGCCGGCGTTCTCAGTGGTTAGAGCATCAGCCTGCACACTGAAGGGTTGAGGGTTCGATTCCCAGTCAAGGGCTCTTACCTGGGTTGCGGGTTCAATCCCCGGCCCTGGCAGGGGGCATGCAGGAGGCAACCAATCAATGTGTCTCTCACGTAGATGTTTCTCTCACTTGCTCGCGCTCTCTCCATCCTTCCCCTTTCCCCCCCCCCTCCCTCCCTTTCACTGTCTCTAAAAGTCAGTGGAAAAAATACCCTCTGATGAGAATTAACAACAAATAATAATAATAGCCTGGCTGGTGTGGCTCAGTGGCTGAATGTCATCCCATGCACCAAGAGGTCACCAGTGCTATTCCTGGTCAGGGCACATGCCTGGGCTATGGGCTCAATCCCCGGGGATGGGGATGTGCAGGAGGCAACTCATCAATGTTTCTCTCTTGTTGATGTTTCTCTCTATCTCCCTCTCCTTTCTTCTCTCTCTAAAATCAATAAATGAATAAATGAAAATTTAAAATTATAAGTAGAGTACAGCCCTCTAGAGGAGGGCCAAGAGATGACTGTGGGATGACTTACTTTTTTAAAGTCCCATTTTTTGTTTTGAAAATTATATTATTTCATTTTCCCTTATTCTAATGTAAGCATTTTAAAGTCAGGAACCATATTTCAGGTCTCCCACCTCTCTCCTAACATCTCACATAGTGCTTCAAGCATCAGCTTCCTCACCTGTAAAACTGGAGTAATAACTCCAGCTCTCTGTGGGGTAGATCAAATGATTAAATGAAGAAACAAGTGCCTGGCACACAGTCAACCCTCAGCAGATGTTAATCCCCCCCCCCCTTCAGCTGGTCTGTTTTCTCCCGGTCTAAAGAACCTGCTAGATAAACTTCGAGAAAAGTAGATAAACTTAGAGAAGAGTCAAAAGAATATCAAGCCACAGGATTTCTCCCGGACAATTTTAATTAAAAATTGTTCTTCTCTGGGCTAGGTGGTGAAGTATCTATTAGATTCCAATGCAAAGCCCAATAAAAAGGATGTAAGTGGAAACACACCCCTCATGTACGCCTGTTCCAGTGGCCACCATGAAGTTGCAGCACTGTTGCTACAGGTAAGGGCCCCACAGCCCAGGAGCTGCTGGCACTGGTCAGTGATGGCATCTCGTCACTTGGTGAGACCCTGGCCATGCACTGCAGATGGGCAGAGCTTGCCCTTTGCTTTAAGCTGCCCCTGGGAGAGAAGCTTTGCATGAAATTTCCATACAGTGGTTCTCCGTGTCTGCCAGGATGCAGAGTTCAGGACACACACTGCTTTTGCTGAAGGTTTAGATCTTGCCTTCTTTACCTATAGGGTAGATTGAATTGTATTGGGTTAAGTTGAACTGTTACTTTTAGTGTGAGCTGAATGTCCTTTGTCCCTTTTTATTTTCTGGTCAAGGGCACGTACCTCAGTTGCAGGCTCCACCACTGAGCCGAGTGCGGGAAGCAATCAATCAGTGTGTCTTGTCTCTCTCACATCAGTGTTTCTCTCTCTCCCTCTCTCTCTCTCCCATCTCCCTTCCACTCTATCTAAAAGCAATGGAAAAATATCCTTGGATGAGGATTTTTTTTTTTAGAAAAAAGAAAATGTGCATAATTTAGAACAGTCTTGTTTTCTATCTTATTTTCGCTTAAGGTAGAAAGTTGTTTATTAAAACCTCAAATTTTAATGGTTGCATAACTATGGATGTACCATAGAGTGTTTGTTTAACTGTTCCTGCTTTAGATGACTTCTATTTTTTTTCTGCCATAATGATAAATGCTGCAATGAATATCTGTGCACATAAATGTTTTTTCTCAGTATTACTTTAACCCCAACATTTTAAGAGAAATTTCAGACATACAGAAAAGTTGAAAGAATTTTATAGTGAACACCCATCTAGATTCTGCATTAATATCGTCTTCAGCATTCCTTCTGATTGTGCTGCTTCTTTCTAGCACGGGGCCTCCATTAATGCCTCTAACAATAAGGGCAACACAGCCCTGCATGAGGCTGTGATAGAGAAGCATGTCTTCGTCGTGGAGCTGCTGCTGCTACACGGAGCATCGGTTCAGCTCTTGAACAAGAGGCAGTGCACAGCTATAGACTATGCTGAGCAGGTGAGTGGGAGGGCACCCAATTGCCTCCCAGCTCACTTTGGATAAGCCTGTGTGTGAACCAGACCTGAAATAGCAGACCTTTGAATGGCTACGCCTGAAGTCTGCCAGGAGTCTGCCAATATGGTGAACTTGGTCACCTGGTCAGAAGGGGGCTGCTCGGGATCCAGGAGTCAGTCCTTCAGGGGTGTGTCTTCAAAGGCCTGAGTAGAGGTGCTCCTCTCACCAACTGCAGGTCTGGGCCCTAGTCTGGCCCCCTGACGAGCAGTCAGGTCCTCGCAGAGAAGTAGCAAGTTTAGACAGCATTCTGGTTCCCCCTCCCTGCATTGGAAATACACCTGTGGTCTTAGCAGCACGATGGAGGAAGTTTGTTCAGTTGGTGGCTTTAAAAGTCCTTGAATTCTGCATGGAGAATTGGGGTGGCCCAGTACCACTCCCAGTGCTGCCATGTTTACCATGGAGAAGTGGGAGAAGATAGCTCTTTACTGTTCCTGCTTTCATGTTGAATCTTCATCTAGTTTCCCACTTGGGGTAGACAACTAGCAGGCTGTTAAATGACACTACCAACATGTTAAAGTCATAGAATGCCAACATACTCATAGGCTTATTAAATTAATTTTTAAGTTTCAGACATTTCTTAACAGTATTGAAATATTTTAAATTTTTAGTTTAGCACTTTCTCAAACATTCTGATGAATGTTTCTATTGAGGACTTACTATGTGCTGGGCCCTGGATAGCCTCTTGATGACTCTAAAATTATAGATCCTATTATTGTCAACCCAATTGCATAGAGCAGCGAAGTGCCCAGTCCTGAGTGCCTAGCAGAGGGCGGAGCCAGGCTCCAAGTGCAGGACTGCTCTTTCACTTATGGCCTCAAAGTTTCATCTGCAGTTGCTTCTTAGCTCTTCTGTCTAGCTATCCTAATACTGACATTTGTATCAAAAATAGGCAATTAACTGCTGAAAAAGAATAAAAAATATTACTGTTAACTTTTCCCTTTCAAATTATAGAATTCAAAAATAATGGAATTACTTCAGGTAGTACCAAGCTGTGTGGCCACGTTAGATGATGTTGGCGAAACAGACCACAAGGAGTACGTTACTGTTAAGATCAGGAAAAAATGTAAGAACTTCTATTCTTTCTGTAATTCTCAACTTGGGTTTATTTGGAAGTTCATGAGTAGTTGCTGGTTTTCATTTCATTGTAAATGTACAATGTAATTATAATCCTGACTGAGGGGAGATTAGGCACCAAAGAAATATATGTTACATCCTAATTTATCAGATATTTCTATGCTAGTGTTCTGGTTGGTTGTGATGATGAATCTTAGCATTACCTTGAAGGGCCTCCACTCACCAACTGGAGAGGAGGAGCAACCTCTGGTAGTTTCTTTCATGTCTCGTGTTCCAAAGCCAGTCATTTTCTAGGCATTTCCTGAACACCAGGGTAAATGCTACCTTTAAATAAATTTTTGGTTGATGGTAATTAGAACAGCATTCGCCGAACAGATAAGGCTGAAGTATTTTCTTCCCCGCCCCCCTTTTTTTAAGTTGTTATAGTTTAGATGTGTTTTTTTTTAATTGCAACATGAGTTTGATGTAATAATGTGAATAAACCCACATACGTATCTGAATAATCCCAAGGCTATCTAAGGGCTGTGGCGAGGGAGTATTAGTGTATTAAGGATTTAACTTTGTTTCATGGGGGTTCACAGAGTAATAAATATGTTTCTTTAAGCACATGCAGTGCTTAATTTTCAAAATGTTGTTAAAGTAAGAAAATTGAAAGGTTGTATCTATGCCATAATTTTTAAAAAATTCTTAAACTATTTGGAAGTTTTCAAATGTTTATCCTTTTATTTGCAGGGAACTCAAAAATGTATAATCTACAAGATGAACCTTTTACAAGACAGTTTTACTTTGTCCACTCAGTCGGTCAGTTTAAGTGAGTATAAAATTTGAGTTCATGTCTGTGCTTTTGACCCTACCTTTACTGAAAACAGAAGCATTATGTACAGCTTGAATGGGTTATAGCAAATATGCTCTCATCAAATGCTGCCACCTTTTGGCCAACCACAGTGTTTTGCACCACTTTGTCAAACATTAAATTACTTTGTTTTGGATTTCAGGGGAAGGACTTCAAGGGAGATTATGGCAAGAGATAAAAGTGTCCCTAATTTCCCTGAAGAGTCTTCACATGAGGTGAGTTATTAAACACTGGGTTATAATCATATTTTTTAAAGCTTGGCTTTTTCAAAACTAATTCATGGTAAACACATTTCTCATTTCATTATTCCCCTCACTATACAAGTTAACAACAAAACGAGCTCTTTAGTGGCATGGTCAAGAGTATAGACGCCATTTATTGTTATATTTAACAATGCATTTCTGAACTAAGAAAGGAAAGTGAAGAAAAAGTGGAAAATAGTTATATGCATGGAAAGACATTGCAGTTCATGGGGTGCATTACTTGGTGAAATATCTCAACTTTCACTAAGCAAATTTGCTAATATGCTAATCACTAACATAAAGAAGAAACTAAGTTTGTATATAAATGGGTAAAAAACTTCTCTCAATATGGTATAAAGTTGCTCATATAGACAATTCTGCACGTGACCATCTTCCTACAGCACTAGTTAGTCACTCAGTTATAAAAAGAAGCCTGCTTTACATTCTGTAGTGCTATTAGGTGACTCTTCTCAGAAACATGACTTTTCTCACTGCTACTTGCCAATGTAATATGTGGCTATTGGTGAAAATTTGAATTTATAGCATAGGCTTGTTGAGACAAATATACAAATGTTCTCAATCTTTGCTTTAGAGAATTAGTGATTTTGTTCACATGACTAATTTTTATTTCATATTTAATCTTTCATGGTTTTGCTAATAGACCTGCTGGGTGGGAAACCAGCAACGTTTGAAATCTGCTTGGGTTCAATCACGTGCTAGCTTTTCCCTCGCTAGCTATGGGACTTTAGGCAGATTGCTTAACTTTGCTGATCCTGTTTCCTCAGTTGTAGAATGTGGATAACAATAGCGCATACTTGTTAGAATTGTTAAGATTAAGTGTGAAAACACGTAAAGCATTTATGCTGTGTTTAACACATGGAACATGTACATGTCAGACTATCACCACAGGGATGTTAGAGTTGAAATTGTGCCTGGCCCAGCCTGGTGTTGTTCAGTGGTTAGAATATCAGCCTTCACACCATTGGGTCTCACATTTGATTCCTGGTCAAGGGCACGTACCTGGGTGGCCGGTTTTCACGGCCCCAGTACAGCCCCCATTGGTCAGGGCACATGCGGGGAAAGTGTGCAGGAAGCAACCAATCAATGTGTCTCCCTCACATTTCTCTCTCTTTCTCCCTCCCTCCCTCCTTCCCTCCCTCCCCCCTTCCTTCCCTCTCTTCCACTCACACTAAAAAGCAATGGAGCCTGGCCAGCCAGCATGGCTCAGTGGTTGAACATCATCACAATTCGGTTCCCGGTCAGGGCACATGCCTGGGTTGTGGGTTCAATCCCCAGTAGGGGGTATGCAGGAGGCAGCCTATCAATGATTCTCCCTCACCATTGATGTTTCTATCTCTCTCTCTGTCTCCCTTCTTCTCTGAAATCAATAAAAAATATTTTTAAAAATAGCAATGGAAAAAATATCTTCAGGTGAGGATTTTAAAAAAATTATGTCTGGAAAGTACTGAGCACATATACGCTCTCAAAGGAAGCTGTTACTGTCATGGTGGTTGTTTAAAGTACGGTGCCCATGCAAACTGTTCAAATTGTACCTTCTCTTTAGCCAGGAAGGCAAAAAGTCACACAGAAGCAGAAGAACCTATCAGACCAGAGCACATCGCAGACTGCTGACAAAGGAGATGGTGACCAGCCCAAGGCCTGGACTAAAACAAACTGCTCCTGGGAACACACGAATGCTCCGGAGACACACTGTCAAGGACACAGCTGCACCGAAGGCCCAGAGACTGCTGACAACCCAACCACTCCCCACGAGGCTAGCGTTTCCCAGTCTTGATAGTAATAAGGAATTAAATTTGCTATTAAGAAGTGAGTCCTTAACAAGAAGATGCCGAGCATGAATACAGACAACATAGAACTAAATGTACTTTCTGTTTGGCTTGAGAGAAAGCAGAAAGTTCCTGAAAGCTTTCCTATGGCCCAAAGAATACAACAAAGAAAAAAATCACCATCTCTTTCCTCTTCAGAGCTAATGAATACCCTTGAAAAGGAATATACAAAAATTCTAGGGGTGTCAGTTCCTTAAGATTGGGGTGTTTCTTCTTTTTAAAAAATTTTTTTATTGCTTTAGAGAGAGATGAAGGAAGAAAAACATCAATTTGTTGTTCCACCTGTTTATATATTCATTGGTTGCTTCTTGTATGTGCCCTGACCAGTGATCGAATTCACAACCTTGGCATGTTGGGACAATGCTCTAACCAACTGAGCTACCCAACTAGAGCTGTTTATTCTTACGTATTAGGGTGCCTTGGTTATAGTGAGACGTTTCACCACCAGATTCTGACCTCCTACTGAAAGGTGCTAAACCTCTGTCAACTATATAAATTAACAAACCACAAGCTAAAAGAATTCCTCCATCTGCGATGAGCTGAAGAGAAGCAATTTAGGTTTTATGGTACTACTAGAGGCCCACTGCACAAAATTCATGCACGGGTAGGGGGCCTGCCGGCTGCTGGCCGGGGCCTCCCTTCCCTGGCTGCCGGCTGTCAGCCAGGGCCTTCCTTCATTCCACACTGCCCCTAGTGGTCAGCGCACATCATAGCGAGCGATCAAACTCATGGTCCGTGGAACTCCCCAGGGGACACTTTGCATATTAGGCTTATATATATATAGATGGAAGCCTGGCAGAAATGTCACATTTGAATGAAGAAAATAGGACCTGGAAAATGTTCCTTTCATAAGCAACACTTGAACCCAAAGATGCCTAAATGCCATTTTGATGTTCATTTTCGTAAGAAGGACATATATGACCTATTCTACACTATGTATGTGGGAAAAGGTGGGTATAATTTTTCTTACAACAAAATAGAGCTATTTGGTCACCGCACATGTGCACCAAAATCCCTTTGTTAAAAACCTTTCCTTAAATGTCACCCTTGAAGGATGGTGGTAATAGAAAATAGATTTGGCACATCTTTCCTTAGTTTTTTTTTTTTTTTCCTTCTTTTTTAGAGAGAGGAAGAGAGAGAGAGAGAGAGATCGATTTGTTGTTCTACTTATTTATGTATTCATTGGTTGAGTCTTATATGTGCCCAGACTAGGGATCGAACCTGCAACCTTTGCATATGGGGACAACTCTCTAACCAACTGAACTACTCCAGCCAAGGATTTATTCTCTTTTGATCAGATTCAAAACTTACAGCACAAACCAGGTCAAAGTAACTTTGAGTTAGAAGTTATTATTGCCATTTATTCCTTTTTATGAGTTTCTACTAATTATACTCTTATTTTTTTATTAATTGGTCTAGATCCAAAACATGGGTTTATCCTGAGTACATTTTCAAATAACTTTGTAATAGGGAAAGGTTTTGTGCATGTTCTTAGAAATACTTGTGTATGTACAAAAGGGAGGGGCTGATTATTTTTCTACAAAGTAATTTATGACTTCTAATTTTCTAATGTGCCTTGGGTATGTGCCAAATGATGGAAAAGAAACAGTAAACTTTATGATTCTTGAACGTGTCATGGTGTACTTTTTTTAGTTAATGTTTTGCTGTGGAGATATGTTTCTAAGCCTCTCTGCTATAACTGTGTGCTCTGTGTGTGGTAAAATCTCCCCCCATTTTGATGGATGTACATTTTATTTTTCAGTTACAGATGTGACTGTGACTGAAACATAAACTGCATCTTTCAGAGATCACTACCCATCTACCTGGACTAGGGCTGGCAACATATGAGATATAGTGCCTAGCGCCCACAAAAACGTTTTCTTTTAAAATCAGAACAAAAATGAATATATTACAGCTTCTTAGCCTACACAGGAAATGAGTACTGTTGCTTTGCTAATTTGATTCATTTTTCATCCTTTTGAACAAAACAACCCATTGACTTAGCTTGCCATTAGGACAGTGATTATTCTGCAAGGGAAACCATGTAACAAGTCTCTCTCCAGCATTTTTATGTAAATGAGAACTAAAGCAAAATGAACTTGTAATTGGTTTGTGTTGTTTTTTCAAAATCCTTGATGAAAATTTTCTTTTGACTATTTAATTCTGTTCCTTTAAAAAAATCTTGATGTTCTTAATGGTTCTACTCATTCATTTGTTCATTCAGGGAATACTAGACACTTTATTCCAACACTGACTTTCTCCATTGACTATACAGTTACAAATTTCTAGTCTCTAATAGAGTAAACCTCAAATGTAGTTTAAACATACAGCAGCAGTATGCTAGCTAAAACAGAGATTGGACTGTAAACCACACTTCCTATCGCTTTTCTGCTTCTAATTCTGTTCATCTCATTAAACCTTATAACTTCCTCCTGGGCTGGGTCTCACAGAACTAAGATATCTAAAGGTTATACCAAACAGCTCACTTTAAATTTATGACTTAAATTTATGAGCAAAGTTTTCATAACCTAGTGCGGCCCCTTGAGTGTGGCTCTTCTACAAAATACCACATGCGGGCGCGCACGTACAGTGCGATTGAAACTTCGTGGCCACATTCAAGTGGCCAAAAAGCCGCATGTGGCTCGCGAACCGCAGTTTGCCGACCACTGATCTAGTGGGAGTGAAGCATGATATAAGAGATGATATTTGCTTTAAGTTACCTGCAGTTTTATCAGTGAAGAACCTAGAACATTTTTACCAAAAGGTAACTATTTTCATTTTATATATTTTTTTAAAGAAAGTTTTTTCTTTTACATATATATATATATATATATATATATATATATATATATATATATATAATTATTATTATTAATTTCAGAGAAGAAGGGAGAGGGAGAGAGATAGAAACATCAATGATGAAAGAGAGAGAATCATTGATTGGCTGCCTCCTGTACAACCCCCCACTGGGGATCAAGTGCGTAACCTGGTCATGTGCCCTTAACTGGAATCAAACCTGGGACCCTTCAGTCTGCAGGCCGACACTATCCACTGAGCCAAACCAGCTAGGGCAAAAGGTAACTTTTTAAACTGTCTCAATTAGATTTTAATCATTAGAAGTTATTTCTCTTACTTACAGACATGTTTATTATTGTTGAAGTATTATTACCAGTATTTCCTAGTTATTTTAGGAATTCTTTTCAATGGAAGTATCACTCTAGCTATGGAGGTTTTTTGGATAAGGGTAATATTTATTAGATAATTTAATATACCTCGATGCCTTTGAAAAGCAGATTATAAATGAAACCAAAGCTAGGAATAGTCTTACATTAAATGTAAGTACTATTTGCAGGGAGAAAAATAGCTCACCTGCTTTCAGAACCTATGTCTTAGAAATATTAGATATTAAAGTTGACTTAGCTTAATCCACAGGTTTTAACTACCATGACATTACTGGATGCTATTTTGTTCTTACTGAAGCCTACTCGAGTAGCTTCTATTTCTGCTATGGCCATTTTCTTCCCTAACACTAATGTCACAATTACAAAGGATATATTCATGCTGCTACACATTTAAAAGTTTTTGGTAGGAAAGGAAAAAATGCAAAATGCAGATCTTCTGTTGATTCAGCTACAGTACTAAAATGACTTTGCCCAAATTGTTTTATTTTACACAAGTTTATTTTTCTAAAGGTATATAAACAATAAACAAAGTGAACATTCAATCAGATCTTAACTGCCAAGTATTATCTGTCCTGGAATTGTTCCATTAAGTTCCAGTCTATGCATCTTAAATTCAATAATCGTCATCTTCATCAGAGTCCATTACTTTTCTTCTGTTGAACTGGGGGGAGGGAGATTAAGCAAGTGTTATTACCTGTTTAATAAAGCACAACTCAGATTTTCTGAGAAGAAATATCTCTACCTACTACAGCAAGACATTTCTGTCTATCTTTAAAACAACTTAAAAGAGTTTTAGATATAAGGGGAGGGGGAACGATGAAACAAGAGCCTTAAAAATTAGACCCCCTCAATATATGCAAGCCCTGCTCCCCAAACTTCCATGTGTTACAAAATGGAAATGTCTATGGGCTGACACATATTTTGATACAGTAGGTGTATAGTCAACACATTTAAAATACCAAACTTTCTCTTCTGCCATATGCATTTGGGGAAACTTACTTTAACTGTGGTTTTCTTTTCTGTTTGTTGGCTTACTTTTTCAAGGATTTCTATTAAACCTTGTTCTGTTACCTAGGATAACCAAAAAGAAAAACAGTACTTTTTGTAAACAAAGAATTGACCTCAGGAGATTGAATCATTTTAGTCTTTCTGGGGTGTGGAGGTAGAGGTCAAGAGGGAAGAGAGGTGGGACAAGAGGTTGCAACTACCAGTTATAACTATAGGCATACCTCGTTTTATTGTGCCTCCCATTATTGCACTTCACAGAACATGTTGCATATTTTACAAAATGAAGGCAAGACCCTCCAGCAAAAAGGTTATGACTAGCTTTATTGCAGTAGCCTGAAACCAACCTTGAAATATCTCCGAGGTATACCTGTATTAGTTTTTGTATTAGAATTTGCTCTGCTAGTCATTTGAGGAGGGGGGAAAGTATCCATCAATTAACATCCTCAGAAAAATCCAAAGTTTGCCCTAGCTGGTTTGGCTCAGTGGATAGAGCGTTGGCCTGTGAACTCAAGGGTCCTGGGTTCAATTCCAGTCAAGGGCACATGCCCAGGTTGTGGGCTCGATCCCTAGTAGGGGGTGTGCAGGAGGCAGCCGATCAATGATTCATTCTCATCATTGGTGTTTCTCTCTCCCCCTCTCCCTTCCTCTCTGATATCAATAAAAATATATTTTAATAAAAAAAAATCCAAAGTAAACAGGTATTTAAGAACACCTTTATCACCCTAGCCGGTTTGGCTCAGTGGATAGAGCCATCAGCCTGCAGACTGAAGGGTCCCGGTTCAATTCCAGTCAAGGGCACATGCCTGGGTGGCGTGCTTGATCCCCAGTAGGGGGCGTGCAAGAGGCAGCCGATCAATGATTCATTATCATTGATGTTTCTCTCCCTGCCTCTCCCTTCCTCTCTGAAATCAATAATTTTTTTTTTAAAAAAGAACACCTTTATCACCACTAGCAGACATAAACAGCCACCTACAACCCTCTATTGTGTTAATGAAAGAGACACACTGACTCTGCTCTTGAGACCCTGAGAAGCTTAAATGAAGCAGATAAGTCATTCAAAAAAGCTGAACCAGTCATTGTCTCTCCCACACACCTTTCTTAGAGTAAGGGGTTCAGGGTAGGACTGATCCCTGCAGGCTGTGGTGGCAACAGAGGGCTTCCCAGTGCAGACGGGGTGCATCTGCATCCTGAAGGACAGTCTTGCAACACACATAATAACCAAAATTTTAGCACCTCCTCATTTGCAAAACAAGTTTAATGTCTACCTATACTAGTAGTGAATCAGTTTTTATTTTTTAAATTGATATGAGAGAAGAAGAGAGAGAAACATCGATTTTGTTGTTCCACTTATTTATGCATTCATGGTTGATCCTCATATATGCCTTGTCCTGGAATTGAACCCGTGGGAATCAAACTGGCATCCTTGGCATATAGGGACAATGTTCCAAACAACTGACCTACCTGACTTAATTTGTATTATTGAGAAACCTTGTTTCCAGTATAGAAGCAATTTAAGCCAGCTAACCCTGGTAATCATTGGGTCACACAGACACCAACAAGGTTCCACAACCATGTCAGGAAAGAAAAGAAGCAGAGGATCTTAGGAAAGGCAATTAGGATATCTTTTAGGACTGATGGTAGATCCAACTATTCTCACCTTTAAAAATTCCTTCCTTGAGGCCTGGCCAATGTGGCTCACTCAGTTGGTCGGGGCATCCTCCTATGCACAGAGGACTCAGGATTCCCTGCCAGAGCACATGCCTAGGTTGCCAGTTCAATCCCCAATCTGGGTATGTATGGAAAGCAACCGGTTGATGATGTGTGTGTGTGTCTGTCTGTCTGTCTGTCTGTCTCTCTCTCTCTCTCTCTCTCTCTCTCTCAAAATTGATGAAAAATAGCCAGTTTGGCTCAGTGGATAGAGCCGTCAGCCTGCAGACTGAAGGGTCCCTTGAAATAGTCAACAAGCCCTGGCTGGGTGACTCAGTTGGTTGAGTGTTGTCCCATACATCAAAAAGGTCACCTGTTGGATTCCATGTCAGGGCACCTACCCAAGTTGGGGGTTTGATCCCCAGTCAGGGTGCTTATGGAATGCAACCAATCAATGTAACTCTCTCACATCATTTTTTTTCTCTAAAGAAATCAATAAACACATATTTTTTAAAAAAGAGCCTTGACCAATGTGGCTCAGTTGGTTGAGTGTCATCCATGCACCAAAAGGTATGATTCTATTTCTCTCTCACACTGATCTCTCTCTCTCCCCCTGTCTCCCTCCCTCCTCCTTCCTCTCTCTAAAAATCAATAAAATCATATTTAAACATAAATAAAAAATAGTCAACAAGATTTCTGTAACCAGAAGATGAAACTGGCCTTTTTAAAACTAATTTTTAGAGGGGGGGGGGAGAGGAGATGAGAGAGAGAGAGAGAGAGAGAGAGAGAGAGAGAGAGAGAAACATCGATTTGTTGTTCCACTTATTATACAGTCAATGGTTGATTCTTGTATGTACCCTGACCAGGGATTGAACCCACAACCTTGACATATCAGGATGGTGCTCTAACCAACTGAGCTACCTGACCAGAGCAAAATTGACCTTTTGAAGACATGTTTGGATAAAGCAGACAACAACAGGTAAAACTACCTCAAGGCAGTCCTAAGCTTACCTTCCCATTTAGTTGTCCATATCTTGCCATCTGTATAAGGTAATTCTCTACTCCTTTAGTTTTTTCGGGTTTTACAAGTGCTAAGTTACTTACTAAAAAGAAAAAAAAATACAAAAAACGTCAAGACTAAATGCACTTATATTGTAACAAAAATAAGCACCAACATTTCCAAAGCACTTCACAGACTTATTTATGTCTTGAAATTAGCAAGGGAGGGGTGGCAGGAGGTATTGTTACCCTCTTAAAAATGAGGAAACTAAAGTTCAGCCATGTCAAGGCCACACAGAAGTAGTGGCAGAGCCAAGATTAAATTTGGGTCCTCGGAGTCTAAGCCCATGCTTTTTTTTTTGCCTTTTTTAAAAAAATTCTTCTTAAGCCTCATGCTTTTTAAAAATATGTATGAGTGCCCTCTGGAAAATATGTTACATATTACTACAGATATAATCAGTATCTATATAAGACTGCCTATTCTAAGCTAGGCTTCAAGAAGATACTAGTCCATTCCAATTGGTTCATTTGTTTTCTACATGGTTTTCTCTTTGGTTTTTAAATATAAAAAATTATTAACTAAAATGGAGAATACAATAAATCTCTCAAACCATAGAAGGATAAATGGCGATGGAAAAAATAAAATTAACTTAATTTTTTTTTTTAATAAAGTTCTTTTTTGTTTTAATATATTTTTATTGATTTCAGAGAGGAAGGGAGGGAGACCCGGGAGAGAGAGATAGAAACATCAATGATGAGAATCACTGATTGGCTGCCTCCTACATGCCCCACATTGAGGATGGAGCCTGAAAACCGGGTGTGTGCCCTGACTGGGAATCGAACCGTGACCTCCTGGTTCATAGGTCCATGCTCAACCAGCCATGCCAGCCAGGCAAAATTAACTTAAAAAAAGAACTAAGCCTGGCCAGTGTGGTTCAGAGGTCGAGCGTCAACCCATGAACGAAGATCTGAACCCAGAGGTCACGGGTTCGACTTCCGGTCAGAGCACATGCCCACGTTGCGGGGCTCCATCCCCAGGAGGCGCGCTGGAGGCAGCTGATTAACGTTTCAATCTCTCTATCCCTCTCCCTCTAAAATCAATAAAAACATATTTGTTTAAAAAAGAACTCCAGCCCTAACCGGTTTGGCTCAGTGATAGAGCATCAGCCTGCAGACTCAAGGGTCCCAGGTTCGATTCCGGTCAAGGGCATGTACCTTGGTTGCAGGCACAACCCTGGTAGGGAGTGTGCAGGAGGCAGCTGATCGATGTTTCTAACTCTCTATCCCTCTCCCTTCCTCTCTGTAAAAAAATCAATAAAATATATATATTTTTTTAAAAAGAACTCCAAAAATAAATAAATAAATAAGCCCCTCAATATCCTATCACATATGTCAACTATCAGCAACACTTTGTAACTGACTTAAGACTTGTTGTCTATATATTTTACCTAATAAGCACTTGGGAAATTATCTCCTTGATAGAAGAGAACCAAGCAGGTACATTTAATAATTTAAGTCCATTTCTTTAGATTTACAAACTGCACATTTCTTACAAATATCTCTATTTTAAGTGCTTATAGGTTAAATATTTAATCTACAGATAGCAATAATTTCATATCTTCCCATTCAACTAACCCAAGCCAATTTTATGAAAATAACTTAAAAGAAACTGAAGATGCTTACACCGGGCCCGGGCTGACTGATCCAGAACTTGGGCTAAGATACTGTTTCTCATTTCTGCTTCTCTATAACAAAAAAAAGTCAAGCAAAATTAGAACTAAGCTGTCAGCATTCCTATTGAACAGACAAAAATGTAACTCACTTAATACATTTCCCAAGGTGGAAGGAGACTGCATGCATAGATTGCACTATAGTAGGTGCTGTATGGATGGTAACAGCTATTATTACTGAAGAATCCACTCTTGCCTTCAAAAGCCAGCTTTATATTGTGTGGGTGTAAACCTACCAAATTGAAAGATAAAACCTTACATTTTCATAATTCATGGTGGAGTTTCAGTTCAACCACCATGACCAACATTTATTATGTATTTAGTGTGAGAGAAGTGCTAGAAATCTGTAGTGAGATTTCCAACAATTAAAGGACCAAATGATTAATCCTTGTAATTATCTTAAGAGATGAAGAAGCTGACACCCCCTTGCCAGTGTGGTTCAGTGATTGAGCGTTGACTAATGAACCAGGATTTCAAGGTTCAATTTCCGGTCAGGGCACATGCAGAAGGCAGCCAATCAATGATCCTCTTATCACTGATGTTTCTACCTCTCTCCTTCTTCCTCTCTCTGAAATCAATAAAAACATTAAAAAAGAACAATTTTAAAAAAAAAGCTGAGATATCTAGGGAAGTTATAAGTAGTTGTGGCCAAGCTAGAACCAAATCCCATATTTCAAGACTCTCAGTTCTACGTGTTTGGGTGAGGAGGGACAGTGAAATTATAACTCCGCAACTATCCTTACACTCCTACCTATACAAGTAGAAACTAGTTCATGTTCATAGGACAGTGGTTTCAAACTTTAGGTAGCAGCAAATTTTTTTAAGTGAGTCCTTCAAGGAACTTAATACTCAACACAGACAGAAGCAGAAATTCTTTAATTGAACTGAGGGGGAGCTGGGGCTGGCTGTGCCACTACCTGCCCCATCGGAGGAGCCCTCGGGTTCATGGAACACAACTTGAAGCCCACTTCCATGGGCATTTCCTTATTGCACCTGAGTACTTCAATTCAACCCTGCAGTAAACTACTGTTACTATATTTCACTGAATCTAAGATACCACTGATTGTAAGATGGACCATGGTGTTATGTACTTCTAAGAACAAAAAAACACCCTAGATGAGGAGTGTAATAGGAGACCCCACACTCAAAGCTCGGGCATCGAAGAGCAACAACCACATACAAGGTAAACAAGAAATAAGCCCGCCATGCAGAAAGGGACTGCAAGTAAGGATGCATGCATCAAACTTGACCCTAAGTGAAGAAAAAAATTCCTTTGAGAATGTGAATGTCAAGCTTTAGTCATGCAAGTTTGCTGTCTGAATTCACATTATCAAGGTGGAAGGAGGGAGTGGGAACCCTAAGCATAGAATTTAATTTTAAGATGTCTCAGATCAGAAATGTAGCCAAGTGGTAGCAGAAGCAAAAGTAAATCCTCTGGAAGAATCCAGGACAATAGTGATCAATTATGAAAATCACCCCAATTCCAGATATGTTAAAATGTGAAAAAAGGTCCATCTTATAATCAATGGAATTCACAGTTTCATTTTCTTCTTAGCACTATCCCAGGTGCTTACCAACTCTCTTCCCACTAAAATAAGCCATGTATGGGCAGGAACCTTCTCTGCCTTGCCTGTTTCCAAAGACCCACCATAGTGCCTGACCTAGAACAGGTGCTCAATAAATATTTGCTGAATGAGTTAAAAGGTGGCATGAGGGAGGGGGAAATGGGGAGTTGTTCAATAAGTATAGAGTTTCAGTTTTGCAAGATGAAAATGTTCTAGAGATCTGCTGCACACTAATGAGAATATAAC